GTTTAAATTATTCGTAGAAATTTAAACTGAAATATGTCCGATGAGATTCATTCAACTCATTAGCATAAATAATTAGATATTTAAACATTGTTTAACATGAATTAGAATTGTTTTATTTTTCATTCAAATTGTGTAAAGTTGCGTTCTCTAGTGACAGAACTTCAGCTTCACTTGTCAAAATGCATTTCTTACATTAATTTCACAAGAGTGTAATCGGTTGGTAGTTATAAGGTATTCTTTCCCTCTTGGTACTATTTTGGGAAACAAACGGTTTTCTGTGAGCGTATGCCTTCCAATAGCCATCAACAAAAAAAAAATTCTCAAGAACCATTTACGATCCTATTGGAAAACATCAAATGTTTTAAAACTAAGCAGTTCTCTTATCGAGGTCTGATATATTTGAACTTCAAGTATAATATAATAAATAAAAACTTTTATTTTATAAAAAAATAGCTGCAACATAATAAGTACGTGTAAAGAACTTGAAAACAAACACTAAAATAAAAACAACACTTAGCGGCCACCACCAAGGGCGGATACCACGGCCTCACAGAAAACCGGCAAAGCAATTTCTCTGTTGTATTTCACCGAGTGAGTGAGGTTTCCTGAGCTCAACCCCCCCCCCCCCCCCCCCTCCTTAGAGAATAGCACTGCAGAACACCATACGTTTGGGCGTCGATGTCTGGGCTGCCCCGCAACAGCGCTCGACAGGATATCTGCCTGCAGCGGGCGCAGGCACATCAGGCTACCCCTCGCCACGCTTGACGTGAATTTCTGCAATAAGGGGCCTTTACTCCAACCTCAACGCTGTCCACCATCACCTCGAGACTGTGAAGCTGGCCTTGCTCTGACTAAGCGAGACGCAAATATCATCTCGCGTCTACGCATGCCTCTACAGGTCCCAAAGCGGTGATACCGAAACTGACCGACTGATGGACCACGTCCAAATGGCTACAGATTCTGTGCTGCAGCAGATCCCATCCGCGGAGATCGTGATACTTGGCTCACTTGGACACTTGACTTTAACGCTCACAACGCCGAATGGCTTGGCTCATGCAAGACCGATCACACGGGGAGATCTCTTCACAATATCGCCCTGACCTATGGCTTGTCACAACTGGTATCAACGCCCACGTGAGTTTCGGATGTGGAAAGTCATGAGCCTTTACTGTTGGACCTTCTGTTGACCTCAGATTCGGACGGTTACAAAATCGCCGTTGAAGCCCCTTGGCTTGGCTCCTCGGATTTTTGTCGAATCCGCAGTACAGTGGCACTCACGTGCTTGCCGCGGCCGCGAGTTGCAGGCTGCCGCCGTGTATGGCACTATAAGTCAGCGGACTGGGGTGGGATGCGTTCCTTCTTTGCGTCCTACCCATGGAGGCAGGTCTGTTTCTTGTTGGATGATCCCACCGTCGTTGCCGATTCTGTCACTGATGTAGTACTTCAGGGCATGGAACTATTCGTTCTTTCTACATCAATTCCCATCGGTGGCAGATCCAAGCTCTGGTTTGTCAGATCCTGCAAAACGGCGTCCCGCCGAAAGCGGGCATGCTACCAAGCATGGGCAAATGCAGCGACGGCATGCGATATAAATACCAGCAGCCTAAAAATCAGCATAGCATAAACTTTGCCTCCAGGTCCCTCAAAACAGCCATTGCTAGGGTGAAATCGGAGCACATCAGCCGGATCGCAGAGACTTCCTTCTGGAACTCGTGTATTTTGGTCTCTTGGAAAGGCTGTCCAGGGAAATTTCTGTAGCCAATCCTTTCCCCTGCAGACGGGAGATAATTCGTTGGCCTATGATGTAATGGAACGATCTCCTAGGCAAACTCTATGCATCCAACTCGACTTTGGATAACGAGAGAAACGTACCGCCGACCATACCGCGGTGCCAGAGCTATATGCCGGATATCCGGTTCACACAAAAATCGTAAAGCACTCTTTATCCTTGACATTCATAAGTCATGTGGGCCCGATGGTATCTCTCCTAGCGAGTTGAAGACGTGTGCTCTGGAGTTGGCACCGGTTTTAACGCGCTTTTTTCGTCTCTCCTACTCCCAAGGCGTCGTCCCGAACTCCTGGAAGGTAGCGTTTGTGCACCCGATCAATAAAAAAGGTGACCGCTCTGACCCGTCCAACTATAGCTATAACTCCTTTGTTCTCTAAGACTTACCTTTGTTCTCTTTGTACTTAGATGATCACCAGCTACTCAATGACCAACAATATGGTTTTCGCCGGGGTCGCTCAGCTGGTGATCTTATCGTCCTTCTAAAACAACGGTGGGCACAGGCGATCGAGACCAAAGGAGAGGCTTGTGCGGTTAGTTTGGACATAGCGAAACCCTTTGATCGGGTCAGGCGTAAGGCGAGAAATTGTGTAATTGGGTCACCAGTTTCCTTGCGGACAGAAGCATTAAGGTTGTTGTCGACGGTGCATGCTCCGACTTGAAATTCGTAAATGCTGGTGTCCCACAAGGCTGTGTGCTATCACCTACACTGTTTCTTCTACATATCGATGACATGTTGCAAGCTAGTAGCATCCATTGCTATGCAAATGATAGCACAGGAGATGCCCTTTATACCGGCCGCCCCATTTCTCGGGAAAACGTCATCGAGAGTCGAAACAAACTTGTGTCTGAAATTAAAACTTCCTTAGCGGAGGTTACAGATTGGAGCGCAAAAACTACCCAGGTCTGTGCGTTCACCGCAAAAATATACCATTTGTCGTATTATCTCAGTTTGAGAGCACCTTCCTAACTGCCTCAACCAGCATCGGAATCCTAGGCATCGACTTATAGAGCGAAGTCCAGTTTCGGGGTCACTTAGAGGATAAGGTCAAATTGGCTTCGAAGAAGCTCGGTGTCCTGAACCTTCAGCTCTATAAGGCGCAATTCCGGCACCTCACTACCAGCTTCTCCTTCTGGACCGCATCCAACGAGAGCGCCTCGAATCGTCGATAGCCCAAACATTTCCGATCGGCTCGATCCCTTGTCATTACGTAGAGATGTGGCTTCACTCTACATTCTCTATCGCATATATCATGGGGAGTGCTCCGAGGAATTGTTCGGACCAATACTAACCGCAAATTTCTGTTCCACACGGCAAAATTTTCATCCTCATTACCTGGATAGTTGGCGCTCCAATACTGTTCGCTTTTCGAGACACTTTTTGCCCCGCACAACCAATCTGTGGAACGGGTTATCGTTTGCGGTATTTCCGGACCGATACGACCTTCAAACCTTCAAGAACAGAGCGTACTCCTTCCTAAAAGGCCGGCAACGCGTTTGTGACTCCTGAGTAGCAGACGTTCACGGGCGGCGACTTTCCATCAGGTGACACGTCTGCTCGTCTGCCCTCTCTAACATAAAAAAAATATGAAAATATAGTGTTTGAAAATTCAAACATTATAAATCATGTACTTACTGTGTCTGATACATGTGTGTTTGTGTTATTGTGGTAAAGATCGGATAAGTGACTCCGTGTCATCAAATGTTGTATTTTGAAGAAACGCTTGGATAAAACGCTTGGATTCTATTCACACTAATCTAATTTAAACAATATAGACCAAGAAATGTAGAAAAGTCTTTTTGTTAAAGAATGTTTAATCTTAAGCAGGGAGGAAATTTTATCTCCACGACGGAAATTAGTTATGATAGGCGTAATATTATGTTGCAGGTGAATGTTTCACGGTATACATTTTTGTCTTACTTTAAGAACCTTATATGCGATATAAAGCAAGGCTGTTAAATATAAAATTGGTCTAAAAGTTGCAATCTTCAGTATGACTTTGTGCGCAGTAGGGTTAGAGAATCTGGAACCATTAGAGCTAAAGACTTGAAATTTGGTAGAAATATTCTTTTCACAGAGTAGAGGTCAGCTAAGAACGGATTTTAAGATTTTTTTTTAATAATGTAAATAGCAAAACGTTTGCAGGGTCAGCTAGTATATTATATTAGTCTACGCATGACTCACCGAAAGGCGGTAGAGGCCTTTTATAGGACGTTGCAAGTCATCCGTCAATGAGTGGGATCACTATGTTATTTTGTAGATATTTTAGGCCAACCGCACCTGTAATACTACGACGCACAATCGTGTCGTAGAGTAAGACGAAGCAACCATGCACCCTATCGAATTTTTTTATCTTCTTATCTACGCTAGAGCTTTCATCACATTTATTAATAAATCTAAAAGTCGGTATGCCATTAACCCACTGCCTAACTTAAGTCCAGTAAAACTATGCAATGGAAAACGGATTTGAGTAACCATTTTGCAGCCTGGCGGAAATCTTGATGGGATGCAATCTCGGGGGCTAAGGTTTTATTCCTCGAACACCGCTTATACCGAATATATTTCGCTTTCGCTTTAAGGTCATCGAGAAATAGAGACTTATAGGATTATTAACCCTATGATGTATGTACACGGCTTAGCAATTAGGGTCTGCAACTGGTTTTACGTTCCGGTTTGGGCCCAATTGAAAACTAGCGTCAGGCTTTCATCTGAAACAAAGCTGAATTGGGTCCGTTTTTGGCATCGGTGATAATTCAAGCTGCAAAATTTTCTAGTGTTATGTTATTGCCAAAATAAACGTTTTTTCTTCCTTTCTTTCTAATTTTTGTTTTAATTATATTTATATAATTTCAAAGATCGTTTTTAACCTCTAGAAATGTAAATAAACATCTAACATGAGTCCAGCATAATGAGTTGCCATCAGCCCACAAGCAATATTACAGTGTCTAATAATATAAATTTAAAAAACATGGTGATATTTATGTGATTATATTTATATTACATTATCATGAAATTAAACACCTTTTAAATAATAAAAAACTATTTATAATCTAAATCAATTTAATAAGTGAAAATAGTCAGTCTTCAAAGTAGACATATTACATGAATATATTATTTTATTACAAAAGAATGCTGTAATTTTGTCCATCAATAACTGAAAGCAGTATTTTTTGTAACCTTCACTTATTTTGCTTAATCAAGTAATAAACGATTCTAAAATTCACAGATTAAAATAAATTCGGTAAACTTAAGTACAGCTGCTACGGTGAGCAAGAGACCTATTCCTAAATATGTTGAGTCATATCTTTTAGGTAAAGGCGGCACCGGTGGACTATCTCCTGGCCTAATTTTCATCATCCTCCACTCCCGTGATATCTGCAACACATAAAATACTTATTCTTCTAAAATAAAAATATGAATTAATCGGAAATGTTTCACGATGAAAATATAGGCAATGCACGTCTACGGCGCAGGCATGTGTCAGCTACCACAGCTTGCTTAACATCAGCTAAGTCTCACCTAGCGCCTGACAATATTGATATGGGTCAAACAGAACCCAATCATAGAAAAAATCATCTCTGTATGTTTATATCGTAATTGAATTGTGTTTTGCATAAAAGTTGTAAGCCAAAAAGTGGTCAAAATTTTAAATGTTAATTAATTTATTTTATATATCCTAACTTTGTCTGTTTTTATAAAAGGGTATAACTTCTAGGTATGATCACATAATAAATACATTTTTCGTCGATAAAACTACAAAGATCATGTTTATCGTTATCTTTGTCACTACTTCTGCACAATATAATTCAATTTTGAAGGCACGGATGGCGTAATAGTTTAATCAGTCGCCACGCCGCTTAGTTGTACTCTTGGCCGCCAGGCTGTTGATGTGTGTGATGTGAAACTTGACTTTGCAATATTAGTTCAACAGATAACCCAGTTGTGTTTCAGATATTTTACGTTTTTATGGAATTCTTTTAAACTTTACTCACCGTTATCATATATCCATTATCTTATCTGCTAAGACGATTTTGTTACATTACATTTACATAAATCGTGATCTCGTAAAATAAAACCATATAATCAATAAGAGTATACGCAGTCCAAATATGATTTTTAGTAATGGTTAAAAAAATTGACCCGATTGCAGGGTATGGTAGTCACCTCAAAGAGGTATTCCATTCTAAGTTAAGACAATAACTGTAAGTAGCCAGACCGAATAAGATCTGTTCATTAAAATAATTATTAAAAAAAACGGTTTATATGCTTTATTCCTAAGGCTGGATAAAAAAAAACATTATGTGTAGAATAAAATAGATACAAATAAACTTTATAGTACACCAAATCATTATTTTAAAGAATACTATAGTTGAACTAGCTGTCCTGGCAAACGTTACTCTGCTATATAAAATACCAAAGAAATCAAATCGCGATTAAAAAGGGGGGGTGCGGGTAGGAGGGTGAAAAATACTGTACGATTTAGTCTCATACATCAACATATAAAAAAAAACATCGGTCGAGTCGTTTCTAAGGTGACCACAAACACCGTGACACGAGATATTTATATATTAAATATGTACAATAGGCCCACGTTACAGAAAAATCGCTTATAGGCAACCTTTGGCAACCCCTAGTTTTGTTGTTAAAGTCAAAGTATTTATGAACATGCATGGACATGCTTGGTATCCTAAAAAAAGTTAAAAATTTTAAAGACTTATAAAATATTAATATTACATCAACAGCATACAATACAAGTACACAAGTTAACAATAAAAGTAGTTTGAAAAACATTTGCATACAGTCTTAGCAATGCAAAGAATAAACACTATACAGTACATTTATTAATAATAGTCTGTGTAAATAAATAAATACATATACAAATAGAAATATAAACATCTACAAATTATTACACATTTTTACATATTAATAGAGAATAAGAATAAATCAATATATCAGATAATGTTATTTGACTATTTTCTTAAAGACAGGCAAAGTTTTGGCAGGTTTAATAGATATTGGCAGAGCATTCCATAATCGGACAGCCTGTTAGTACAGTAAGTTGGTTTTCACAGTTTAAGAGATTCAGACGACCTCAAGAGTCTTCAATGTGTGTCACTAAAGAAAACAAAGCGATCCTTTATATAAGATATAGTCAATGAAATTGTAATAAGAAGCAGTTACTAACCAATAGGGTGCCAGTTATAGACGTAATTATTACACCGGTAATCACAAAATACTGAAGGACAAAAACATCAAGAGGTTCTTCAACGATCACCGATATTAACAGACCTATTGGTATCACAATTTGACTCCATATCGTACCACCAATAAGAGTTTGTTCGTCTCTATATTTTGGCCTCGTCCCTAATTTAGAGCCAGCCCATAGGCCTCCTGCTGATATCACAGCACATAAACAGATGAATTCCAATATTATCACAATATATACAATCATTTGCGTTTGATCATGATTTGATCATACATTTTTGGTGTACGTTTTTCTGAGAAATAATTTCTTAAAATTGACATTTTGTCATCTTGACTGATAAATAAGCCGTCAGGCTTTATTAGTATTAAAGAATTAGAATTATTTATTTATGTCAAACCTCTTTTAGTAAGAACAAAAAGATGAGTGCTCCTTTGCAGCATTGTTTTCATTGAATGTTCAAGTTTAGTTTTTTTGCAAATTTCTCTTCAATTAACTTTAATTTAAATCAGAGATAGAAAAATAAAATTAAGGCAGACACAAGATTTATTACGACCAAAAAGGATTAAAAATTGGGTGATGTCTAATGCTTGATAACGTAATATATGTATCAATTCCATACAGAAAAAAAAGGTAATCGATTAAATAGAGTGACCGGCCGGACAGCAGTTTCATACTTTTGTTATATTTCTGATAACCAACATTACTTTTGGACTTTTACAACAATAATTTTATTTTGTTAATCAACTCATAATTTGAATGGAACCAACAAAGGTATTATTCAAACATGTAGGCTATGTTTGTATTTAAGTAGCATAAACATTTCGATGGCAATTACATTTGTTTTTATCCAAACATGACCACTCTCAAAGCAATTACTGAGTATCGTGTTCCACAACACAATGCAAACATTACTTTGTTAATCTACTTGAAATATGGAGGCGGTCTTATCACAGGCTGTAATTTCTTACAGAAAACCAGGATGGATTATACTACGTGCGATGGATTATACGGGGGTCACACTAGAAGTTTTTAGAAAATAAAAAACCGCATGATAATGACGCCTGTTCATATTTTATTGCATTTCGAAATAGTCTCCATTCTTTTTAAGTAACGGAGCATGCGATGGAACCATTGTCTGAAACAGTAAGCCCTCCCTTTTCTAGGGATCCCTTCCACGCCTTTTTCAAACATCACGGGTTCTTTATCTTTTATTTTTAATAATAGACAATAACATACACTTATACATATACATTTATACATATACATTTATACATATAGGCATATACTCGTATATTAGGTCCTTACATATGAAATTGGCGTTTTGTACAGGGGGAATATAAAGTCATTTTTTTTGTGTAAAATATATTTAATGAATCAAAGTATGCACCGTTGTTATCTATGCACTTTTGCCATCTCATGGGTTGATCCCTTTACTAAAAAAAACCGGGGTAAGAATCAATAAACTCTCTGAAGGCGGTTTGGACTGCCGCATTGGAGTTGAATTATTTTCCTTGTAAGAAGTTGTCCAAATTCCGGCAAAAATAGGACAAGCTATTTCAGCAAGGTCCGGGGAATACGTTGGATGTCGCAGACATTCCAATTGTAGCTCATCTATCTTAGTGGTCGTTTGTTGTATAGTGTGTGGTCTTGCGTTCTCGTGAAGCAGCAGTGGCCTAAAGCGATAGACCAATCTCGGTTGTTTAGCAGCTAGTTCTTCCTTCATGGTTTGCAGTTGCTGACAATAGATATCTGCCGTAATCATTTGGCGAGATTTTAGAAAGCTGTAATGAACGACATCGGAGCTAGTCCACCAAACACTTACAAGTAACTTTTTTTGAGTCAATTTTCGTTTAGGGTAGGACTTGGGTGGGTCTCCAGGGTTCAGCCATTGCGACGAGCGCTTCCGATTATCGTACAGTATCCACTTTAACAGTAACCACAAGTAATGATTCGATTTAAAATCCCTTCATTATTGTCTCGGTTGAGCAAAGTAACACAGCAGTCGACGCGTGTTTGCAAGTTCGATTCACGCAATTCATGAGGTACCCATCGTTCAAGTTTTTTATTTTATTAATACAGTTTTAGCACTTACCCTGAAGCCTGCAGCTATCTCTGAAGTGCTTTGTGATGGATCCGCTTCCACAATGGCCTTTAATCTTCATTTTCCACTTTGGTCTCCGGCCGTCCACGGGGTTGGTCCTGAAGGTCGAAATTTCCGGAATGAAAACGTTGAAACCAAAAAGGTACCCTGCTTTCTTTTGCGACACCAGCACCGTACACATCATTAATCCTTCGAGCTGTTTCTTCAGCACTGGTGCCACGGTAGAACCCGTACTCGTAAATATACCGATATTTCATGTTTTCCATTGTGCGGTAATAAGCCAAAGAAAAAAATAATGAGAAAAAAACAAATGAATGACTGTTTTCAAAATTCAAATGTACCAGCTAAATTAATTTATAAATTTGAATTTGGAATTCTTAACCAAAGAGGAGATATTTCAGATCAAAGTGGTCAGTACGACAAAACGCTAATTTCATATCATCATCAACAGCCTTTAACAGTCCACTGCTGGACATAATCCTCTCCTTAGAAAGGAGGTTTTGGCCTACTATACCCCGCTGGCCAGACGGGTTGGTATAGGGTTTGTTTCAAGTTTTCCTTCTCTCTGCAGTGCTGTTGTTCTGCGCAGTTTTTTAATTTCATATGTAAGGACCTAATACATACAATACCCGAAAAGATAATATTGTTATTTTGATAGGTAATGATGTTAGTGACTGCTCTTCTCGGAAGGTACTCGTAGTGGCAATGTGTTTGCAGCTAATACTAAAAAAATTTGTCATAAAACGTTGTAATATTCTTTCGTTCGTTATTATAAATAATAACGTTTGATTCTCCAATGATCTCAAGTATCTATTGTGTGTATAGGGTATAAATGCGAGACGTTTTATTAGGTAAACAGCAGTAGTGGGGTTAAAAAAGAGATTATCAGCGATGAGGGAGGCACTTGAGTTTAATATGAAATTATACCACATCATATTGAATCGTGGTTATTGGGATATAATTAAGGGGGTCACGCGTGCGCGTCTATCCGCGTTGGATGTGCTCTCAGTGCGTAAAAATGTCATCGACTACGTTGAAATGTAATGTGTGTAATATTGTGATTGATGAGCTTTTGGCTTATATACAGAACAAAATCTCGGTTTCCGACGAGGAAACCATAGTGAAGATATGTGCATCAACATTTACGAGTGAATAAATAGAAAAATCTAACAAGTTGCTGCTCGAATCCCTACCCGCTGAACTGAGGAAATCAAATAGAAAAGGAAAGGGTAAGGAGAACCGTATATTGACCGATATAATAAGCATATTAAAAGGGACATAGAAATATGGCCAGTGTTTGTAGCACGCGAGTTGGAAAAATTACCATCTCTAACTGTCGATCACTTAGATGTCAGCAAACTCCTTAAAGATCTGGCTCTAGTGCAAGCCGAGGTTCGACTGATTAAGGAGTCATATGTAACAAGGACTCAAATAGAAGACTTGAAAAATGAGTGTAATCGTAATATTACGTCGTCTTCACCGTCAGTCCCGGGTGCAGGAATAAACTTGAAGAGAGGCGCATACCGTGACCGCTCGCTCACTTATTTAAAAAGTACGCATGAAGCGGCCGTTGGTGATAAATGTGACAATCAATTTTTGGATCACGAAGCAATTAATACGTCACATAAAAAAATCACCAATTTAAATTACGGTGAAGGTAGAAATATGCCGATACAGTGGCCTATTCAAAAGGATCGCTGCGAGTCAGCCGAAAGTAGCCGAGCGCGGCCGTGCTCGGCCGACGGCCGATGCGTCGATGGAGGTGACGAAGGCGTCACCGCCACCGCCAACTGCAAGCGGCGCATCCGATCAGCTGTTAAATAACAATGAAACAGGCTCTTATGCGAGTATTGCACAACGAAAAAAGGTGGCAAACAATGGATGGACGGAAGTGCGACGCAGAAAAATTCCCAAATTACCAATTATTAATTATAATTGAATATATAGAAAAGAAAACTCAAGAAAAAGTAGTACTAGAGAAAATATCTATTAAACGACAACGTGACTATAACACCTATCAGTTTTTCGTAAATTTAAATAAGTTTGCCATTATACTTAGACGAGAAACTATGGCCACACGGCATTCTCTTTTGAAGATTCGTGAATTTTAGGCCGAAACCTGAAGTGGAGACTATCGGACATAAGAATGACAATTAATGGAGGAGCAGACCCACAAGTTTATTACATTTAGTTGTAAAAATGTAAAACGTTCTTTGCAAAACATACGGGATTTGTGTAAAAGCTGCGATTTGATAGCGCTACAGGAAACCTGGTTATTGCCGAACGATATTTCTTTCCTGGATACCATTAGCGAAGACTTCAGCGCGACAGGGGTATCAGCAGTGGACCTATCCAACGGCATCTTACACGGTCGTCCATATGGAGGTGTTGCGTTGTTATGGAGGCGGAAAGTTTTTCAGGAGGTAACCGTTGTTCAGTGTAGTAACCCGCGTATCTGTGCTGTGAAAATAACGTCGAAAGATAAAGCTTTTCTAGTGATGAGTGTTTACATGCCTGTCGATGTGATTGTGAATCTAGCGGATTTCAGGGACATACTTAGTTCGGTAAGTGCTATCATAGATAACTGTAGCGTCGATTGTGTTTATATGTTGGGCGATTATAATACACATCCCACCGAACTGTTTTATAATGAACTTATAAACTTTTGTGCGGATCGGACATGGTCTTGGATAGATATTGATATGTTAGGTTCGTTATCGGAAACATACATATTTTTAAGTGAGTCACACGGTTCTAAACGATGGCTCGACCATTGTCTCGTAACTCAGGCTGCTGTAAAAACAGTTAAGAATGTTTCGGTACTGTACGATGTTCTATGGTCCGACCACTTTCCACTTATCATAGAATGTAATATAAATATGTTACCACCAAAAATTTATAATGTTAGGTTTTCTCAAAATACATCCGAATGGGGCGAAAGAAGTGTACAGAAAATAGAAAGTTATCAAAAGGAATGTAATTATAGACTGAGACATATAGCTTGCCCACAAGTATTGACTAACTGTTGTGATAAAACTTGTAATGATATTACTCATAGATTTTCAATTGATAAGCTTTACGTTGACGTTGTAACTGCGCTAACCGAGGCGGCCAGGGTGGGTCGAGGAAGCAGCAAGCGTATACGAAGGAAGTATATTACAGGATGGAATAAACATGTCGTTGAGGCTCACAGACAGGCTAAACAATCATTTTTGATTTGGAACTGGCATGGCAAACCTACCAGTGGTAAAATTTATATAGATACGAGTATGTGTAAGACCAGAAAAATATTTAAATCTCGTCTAAAATGGTGTCAGGATCACGAGCGACAAATTAAATTAGATATGCTGGCAGCAAACAATCAATCATTCAAACAATGATTTCCGCGCTTTCTGGAAAAGTACTAACAGACTGAGTTACACGTCGGGGCTGCCTGGGAGCGTCAGTGGGGTGACAGATCCTAAAGATATTGCTGATCTCTTTAGGGATCATTTCTATGTAAAATCACCATTGGGACCTTCTCGGATGACGATCAGTAGAGAGGCCGACATGGATCCGGGGATTCATTTTGAAGCCCAAGAAATTACCAAATTTATCAATTCCATGACTAAGGGCAAATCTCCCGGCCATGACGGTCCTAGTATAGAGCATCTCCGGTATGGGGGACTCCATCTGCCAAGAGTGTTGGCACTGCTGTATTGGTTATGTATAACGCACAGCTATATGCCTGGGGATATGCTGCGCACTGTGGTGGTGCCTATAGCCAAAAATAAAACTGGCGATCTTGCCGATGTTTCGAACTATAGGCCTATATCTTTAGCCACGGTTATTTCTAAGGTGTTTGACGGTATGTTTAATATGCAGTTGAATAAACACATCCATCTCCACGATAATCAATTCGGTTTTCGTCCAGGCTTATCAACGGAAAGTGCTATACTGTGTCTTAAGCATACTGTCAACTACTATGCAAAGCGGAACACTTCAGTGTATAGCTGTTTTCTCGACCTGTCTAAGGCATTTGACTTGGTTTCGTACGATATTTTATGGAAGAAGTTGGAAAAATGTGAATGACCAACTCCAATGATAAACACTCTTAAATACTGGTATGGTAATACAATTAATAATGTCCGCTGGGCAGATACTTTATCGCATCGGTACCAAAGCTTTTCAACCTGTACGTTAACGAGGTGATCGGTGAACTTAATAGTGCAAAAGTCGGATGTCATATTGATGACATTTGTCTAAATAATGTCAGCTACGCAGACGACATGGCGCTGCTAAGTGCGTCGCCATGTGGCCTGCGAAGGCTTGTTCACATATGTGTACAATGTTAAGAAAAGCGAGGTCATGGTTTTTGAGGCTGGGGGTAGAGGCCCTAAGGATGTGCCACAGATACTTTTAAATGGGCATCCATTGAAAAGGGTATTTAAGTTTGGATATCTAGGGCATATTTTAACTCCTAGCCTCAAAGACGATGAGGATCTGGAAAGGGAACTGAGGGCGTTGTCGGTGAGAGCGAACATGTTGAGCCGCAGGTTTACACATTGTTCGAATAATGTTAAGATTACACTCTACAGAGCTTATTGCACGTCTTTCTATACGTGCAGCCTGTGGGCTACATATACTCGAAAAGCATACAACTCCCTCCGTATCCAATACAACAATGCGTTTAGGGTGCTGTGGGGGCTACCCCGCTTCTGTAGTGCGTCCGGGATGTTCACAGAGGCGCGAGTGGACTGCTTTCACACTATTATGCGAAAACGGTGTGCATCTTTGGTGCGCAGGGTGCGGGCTAGCTCTAACAGCATACTAGCCATGATCACAGAGAGGTTAGATTGCAGGTACATTGGTCACTGCAGCGCCGTCTCTCATGGAGTGCATAAATAAAAATATTGTAAATTGTCTCTACTAACATAGGATAAGTTTTATGTATTACTAACAAGCAATGAGTCATGGTAACTCCAATAAAATCATTATTATTATTATTATATAACTCTAATTATATCTATATACGATAAATAAACTATCCTGCTAGTTATATTATTTTGCACAACATTATCTCTGAAGCTATAAAAAATAAAAGAACGTAAGTTAGACAGAAAAACCAACCAAACCACAACATGGTTGCAAAACTGGCGCAAAGAGACCTTTACGCTACACAAAGCTCCCGCCAGTAAAGTTGGAAAGTAATGGGCTACCTACTACAACGCGAGGATACAACATGATAATGACGCCTAACATGTCAAAAACGTACAGTATAATAGTGGAAACAACTTAACTTTCGATATAAGACCCTGCTATGGTTGTTGAGGCAAAGTAGTATACAATATACTCTAGGTTTATAAAGCAACCTTGACCTAATGGCGTTAGTGCTGCTTTGATTTTGTAATGTAATTGAATTGAAACCTGATACCCCGTTAAATCGATTGAAATTTTAAGATTAAATTTTCTCTTCTCAGATTAAATTTTCCATGAAATAAGATAATTCGATTTCGCTCTGCAAAAAATGTGGAGGAAAATTTGAAATTCGATTGAATGTATTTTTATTTGTAATAACCAGTTTTTTTTTAATAATCATAATCAGCAAGGGTTTCATACATAGAAATTATTTTTCGCAATACTTTCTAAGTGGCCTGGTATAGACGTAAAATAGGAGTTGTAGAGAAATTTTAATGACAGATGGTTATGTATAGGTCATGTTTTCGCATAATATAAACTGCAGTGTGCGTTTATGAATAAAAATCTATGTTATAGTCTAAAATATATCGTCATCATCATCATCATTAACAGCCTTTAAAAGTCCACTCCTGGACATAGGCCTCTCCTTAGAAAGGAGGTTTAATTATGGAGGAAATATATACATGTAAATATAAAAATAAAACCTCTATATAAATAGATTATGACTAGATACAAAAAGTTTTGCGAGTTTCTCCTCTGTGATATCGAGATAACTGGTATCAGCATAATCTAGTGTTGGGCATAAGTGTGACAATCATCAGAAACATTATAAAGCCAGGCCACTTTAATGACTACAACAATTTAAATGCACAATTAACTTTGTTTTGATTATATTAAAATAGAGCTTTATGATTTAAAAAAATGCTATAGTACAAGGTTTTGTATATATCATTAACTACAATGAATTGATGACAATTGAAGAGCAACAGAGCGTTAAAATACTCGTATCAACAATAAAATTAGTTACTGATTTCATTTAACATCATGCATTGTAAGTAATAATCTTCTGAATACAATACGCTCGACTATGTTCAGATATATCATTTTTATTATGTTTTATTTAGTTCTAGTTCACTCGAACCTGGATTATGTAAATATAAATTTTTAGTTTTCTTAGTTGTTTCTATGTAAGATTTAAAAAACGAACTTTTATTATTACAGTGATTAATATCCTTCTACCCACAATTTGTTAGTAAAGTTTTGTGTGTAGTGCTGTAATGAGACTATTGCATTACTTTATATAATACCAGAGACATATATTTAAAATATCGTAACAATCCGCCTTTTTAACGTGTTGAACTTCGGGCCCTAACGGGTTTGCGATGGGGCGGATACGAACCTACTAAATCAATACGATGTGCCACTCTGCGCTTTAAATAAAAGGTATCCATAAAGAGCTTATATCAAGACATCCGGACCCCTGATAGCGCGTGCCAGCAAACGGACACCACCTTTGGATTATTTAGGCTATACCTCTCATTTAGGCGACATCTTTCGGGCTCTCTCCGCCGCCTCCTTCCGCCAGAAGACATCCTCGCAGAAGGACGCAACGGTGGTAAAACATCTGTCGCTACCAGCCATGGAGC